TTACATTTAAACTGGCCACTTGATCCACAGCTTATTTTATGCAATGATGAGCAGTTTCGTCACCCAGTGAAACTCAGCATTGCTTCTTACTATTCACTTTTGTAGTTTTAAAGTGAAAAAAACATTTTTCTTTTAAAGCTCCAATGTTGGAAACTCGATATGAATATTAGCATTTCTCTCCTCATTTTTGGATCCACTCTCCAGTTTAAACAGGAGAGACTTGCAAATTCTCACTGTTCATTTTCCCAGGAAGTCAAATATGTGAATAAGTGATGAGAATTTCCGTGTTTCCCTTCTCTGCAGTCAAGAAAAAGAAGCACTGAAGAGTCACAGTTGTGTCTTGATTTATAAATCGGAGACAGAGGGAGACGAAAGCCACACTCCAGACAGAAGCTTAATCGGACTCACCACTAAGATGTTAAAAGTGAAGAGGCTGGAAGAATTCAACACGTGTTACAACAGCAACCAGCTGGAGAAAATGGCCTTTTTTCAGTGCAGGGAAGACGTGGAGAAAGTGAAGTGTTTTCTGGGAGAAAATTCTGAGGACCAGGATTCAAGATCTGAACAGAGTGAGGTAATCATGTGCTAGTTTAATCTCCTAAAAAGTATTCATTCTACCTTATCTTTTCTTATGTCGTGGAGCAGTGCAGCAACCCTTTCCAAATTGAGTAGAATTAAGGAAAGTCTATGAATAGACACCATTCAATTTTGCTTCACTGAGAATTGTGTGTACCAACTATGCAATTGCGTCTGGTAAATAATTAGGCCTTTGAAACTGCATTTCTGCCTGCAATCTACTTCACATTATGGTTAGTGGCTTCAGAGTTATACAGCCAGCTTCTGGAAAGGAAGAAGAATCCTTTAAAATGATGGATCTGGGCTTGAAATTCAGAAAAGTGCTGTAAGAGGCACAACTGTTCTGCAAAAGAAGTTTCTCATTTCCTCCAGACCTTGAGTTCCTCACGAGGCAGATGGCAGAGCTGTTGATAGTGAAGTTCAGAGATGGGACAGGAAAGAGTTGCTGATGGCACGACTGTGGGGCTGTGTCCTCCTCTGTGGAGAACAAGAGCTCTGAACTCAGTGCAGCTGCTTGTTCTTGGGCAAAATATTAATTTAACCAAGGGCTTGCCACATCTGAACTAGTGAGATAATAGCAGTTGTGAAAATTAAGTGTGATCACATCTGTAAAGCACTCAGCCTAGTGTCTGTCACTAGCGTAAGCATTTCATATGTGTTAGCAGCAGCACGTCTGTAAAGCACTCAGCCTAGTATCTGTCACTAGAGTAAGCATTTCATATGTGTTAGCAGCAGCATCAATTCCCTCCCCTGCCTTGGCCCAGTCAGTTCCGGCCCATCATCCATTGGCTCCTTGCCCGGTGGGAGCAACAAGCATTTAGCCCATGCCTTCATTCCAGCACATGCAGTGGTTTTGAACATGTGAATCACCTTTCTCTAGACAAGGCTCCTCCAGGTTGGGACCTTGTGTTATTTGTTCATGTTTTCTCAGTTGCTTTCCCGGTAATGGGAACAAGTAGGCACCAAAGTGTTTTTGGAACAAACAGATCTATTTAAGTGAATTCTGGTTGAGGGCTGGGAATCATTATTTTCGATAATCAGAGCAAGTGATTCTTATCAGGGAGGTTTGGAAAACATCCTTCTTTGCCCAGCTACTGTTCTAAAAAGCACTATTCAGGTAGGAAGGGCATTTCTAACAATGCGACAGACAATGAGATAGAAATATTGTATAACAAAGGTCTGGGAGGCTTTTTACTGTAAGTGAATAAGAAATGACAAAATGTGCTGGAGAGAATAAATGAATCAGATTGAAACAGATTTTTTTGAGACCCCTGCTTTCCCCATGAGTTCAATATAGACCAAGAAGAAATATCCACAGGCAAAATTAAGTGGGACATGACTTTCTCATTAGGGTCCTTAGTGGTACAAACAAACAGGATACTTTTTTCTGTTTATTAATTTCGGCAGGACAGAGAAGACAAAATATTCTTCTTGGATAACTTTGAAATCATCAACTAACTGTAATAGTTTATATGAATTTTATTATCTTTCAGGTACTGTTTTTCTCCAGCTTCTGTGACACAATTTTTAGAAATGGGAAACACTTTCAAGAGTAAGATAGGCTGGGTGCATGGCTCATATCTGTAATCCCAGCACCTTGGGAGGCTGAGGCAGGAGAATCACTGCAGGCCCAGGGTTTGAGACCAGCCCAGGTGACATAGTGAGACCTCTATTTCTACAAAAATAAAAAATACAAATAAAATAGCCAGGCATAGTGGCACACATCTGTAGTCCCAGCTACTTGGGAGGCTGAGGCAGGAGGATTGCTTGAGCCTAGGAGTTCAAGGCTGCGGTGAGCTATGATCACACCACTGCACCCCAGTGTGGACAACAGAGCAAGACCCTGTTTCTGAAGATAAATAAAAGAATGAGATAGTGCTAAGTTGGAACATAAATATATGTAGGGATATTACTTTTTGATAGCCAACTGCATCCAGAAGTGGATGATTTGGAAGTTAAATGTTTTTAGGATGTTTTTGAAGGAAAAACTAAGACTGTTATTTAACACCTAGAAACCCTCAGAGAATGTCCTTTGTAGTAAGTCTCATATCCCTTCTGTAACTTGGGCCTCCTGGCTTGGGTCCTGCAGTTGACAGCCTGCGGAAGGTGGGAAGGAGTCACTAGGAGCTCCATGTGTCCCATTCAGTTTCTTACTTGTAAATAGTGAAGGGCCTGGAGATGTCTGCAATAAATTTCCCTGTCTCTCTCCGTCCATGTGGAGAATGGATAGGCGCACGTGTCGGAGGCACAGGGTTCTCCTTTCCATGGCCTGGAGCCCCAGCCTGCCCAGTTGGTGGGTGCCAGGGCAGCCAGCAGGCTTGGCAGTGGGTGGGTGGAGAAGGGCATTCCAGCAGCTCAGATGTCTTCAGGTATGCAGACAGAGCAAGATTAACACGTCTTCATCTTCTGCTGGAGTAGCAATAAATCTTTAAAATGCCAGTCTCTTCCCTCCAGGGACTATAAAAAAATGCTTGTCAATTTTCTCCACCTATTCCCCTTTCTCTCTCATCCCTTTTCTCTTTCAGAAGATTAGCATGGCTAATCATAGTAGAAACATGTGCTGTGGTGCGCTGGATAGAATTGACTCTGAATTTCAGACTCTGGTGACATGGTGACATGAAAGCTTTGTTCTGGAAGCTTGCAGTGCAGTTTCTTTAGTGTCTGGAATCACTCTCCGGTCCCAATAGGGGAAGAATTTTACATAAACCACTTATATTTAATTTTATATTTACATAAACAAAATAGTTTGATGAAACTCTGATTCTTTGTGTTTTCCTGCTCTTAATCAGATTTTCTATTTTTTTAATATTTCCTCCACTGAACTGATTTTTAACGGTCTTCTTTCTTTTCCTCTATGTTTTGTTGAGTTTATGAAATACTTCATTGTGTATTTTTCTTTTTTCTACTTGAGTTCTTTTCTTTTTCTTATTCTTTTTATTTTTATTTTTATTTTTTTTTTTCCTTTTTTGAGACAGGGTCTCACTCTGTCACCCAGGCTGGAGTGCAGTGGTGTGCTCTTGGCTCACTGCAGCCTTGACCTCCCTGGCTCAAGTGATCCTCCTGCCTCAGTCTCCGGAGTAGCTGGGACTAGGCAGGCACCACCACCCATGGCTACTTTTGTATTTTTTTTGCAGAGACAGGGTCTCCTTATGTTGCTCAGGCTGGCCTTGAACTCCTGGGCTGAAGTGATCCCCCTGCCTTGGCTTCCCAGAGCGCTGGAATTATAGGCATGAGCTACTCTGTGTGGCCTGTTTTTCCTACTTTTCTTTTTCTTCTGTTTTCTAGCAACTTTTCTCATTCTATTATTTCCAAAGGCTGTTCAAAGTCACCCAAGTTCTATGTATTGTGTGAAATTCTAAGTTTTCAGCGGATAACCATATGTCATAATAAACTAGGTCTAAATATACATACGTGGTGTGGTGTCGAAATCAAGTAAAATTTACAAAACCAAATTGGTCTGACTCATATGAGTGATGAGCTCGATGGCTACTGTGTCTGTACCATTAGGTTATAAATGATGAACAGACCTCATTACTGTAATTAGTGTTGTTTTTGTACTAAGGTTTTTTCTTTTGTCAGTTTTCTGTTATCTATATAGTAAATAGCCCTCATATTGTATTTCCCTCAGATTTACTTGAATGTTTGATAGGATCTCTCTCTCTCACATACACCCTCACACCCCTCTACTTGCTTAATGAAACAAAAACGTGCCCGGTAATATTCTCAGCCGACCATTCAGCTCTGTGTGCTTCTCACTGCTTTCCTCTGTTTACTGCCCCTATCCCTGCTTATGAGGCCTGGGGTTGTCTGTGCTCACCTCCTGGTCCCTTGGCTTTCTCCACCTTCCTGTTCACCCCTATCCTCCACCCAAAAGGCATGGTCCCAAGTACAAAAGTAGGACACAGGTTGTGAATGCTCACTCTACACAAATATGTCAGTGTGGCCCACCATTCCACATCTGCGCCTAGAGGACCTCTAAGTAAATCATTTCTGAATTTATCCTAACCCTTGTTGATTTGTATCTAGAAGCCTTCCTTCATAGGGAATAATTCCTTCTTAAAACCTGGCTTAAGTTCTTCCATATCCTAACCAAGGGGTATCCCAAAGCTGTGGGGATAGAAACAAGAATGTCCCCAGCAGACTCAGGACCCACAGCCGCTGGAGTGTTTAAATGGCCAGCACAAATGCTCCCAATACCAAGCAAAGCAAAATATTTATTAACAGGATGTGCAGAGGGACAGGGTGGGTTGGAGTAAAGTATGGATCTCCCTTTTTTGATTGCAGTTGGTGGATTTAACACCAGATGGAATTTCCTGACCAACTGCTGTGAAATTGTACCATCGGCACCATCCATAATGACTATAACTTAGATCTCAAAATAACAAGGCTGAGGGCAGAGGTTTTGTGATTTTTAGAGTTGTGTTTCTCCTCACCCTGTAAGGCCAGGAGAAATCTCCCTGGCGGTGGCCCAGCCTTGGCAACCAGCAGATGCCAGATACAGTCGTGCTAATTGTCCTTGAACTGGGAACAAATGCGCATTCACGGTGTAAATTGTTGCCAGCAGGTCTCCCAACGCCCCTACACCTGTTTCAGATCTGTCACACGAGGCTGTCATATTTTTCCTTTTAAAGAGGCGGATAATTTGCTGATCACGTAACTGGAGACATCATTGCATTGGCAGGACTCTGCAAGAACCTCTATAATTTGGTGACACCCACTCCTCAGGGCAGAGCAAAGGGTGACACTGCTTGGGAAGTGCTGGTGCTAGATCAAGGCAGGGAAGGAGCATATAAGCCAAGCGACATCCCACAGCTGCTCCCAGAGAATGGACTTCACACTCAGAAGGAAAGACGTCTGGGTTGTAGGCAGCGTGTGCCTTCTCTCGTCTTCAGTTCTCTGGCGCTTGATCCGGCTCATGATGACCCGGGGAGGCCACTGCCAGGCTCCTGCTCTTGAGGACGTGCAGGTAGTAAAATCACTTTTATCTGACAGATTCATTTTGTTTGAATGCTTCCAACCTGGGAGTGGTGCTTGCCAAAGAAAATGGAATGCATGCCCTGGCTGAATCTTTGCCCAGGACACTGGCCTTAGGAGCAGTTGGGGTAATAATAGTGGCATGTGGCACATTTCAACCTTTCAAACACTTGCACCAACTTTTGGGAAACCTCATGGGCAGGGATTCCCCTTGCATATTAAAGTTGGTGACCTGTTTTTGTTTGTGAGGGCTACAAATCATGTCCATATCTCTTCATTCTCCTACTTCTTATATGAGTTATGAAAAGAAAATAAAACCAAAGCAAAAGTTCTTTTACTAAGAAATAGATTGCAAAACACAGCACGTGCAGCCATCAGCTCTTCTGAGCATAGCCTTCTCTGCTTTCTTTGTTGAACTGTTGCCTGATAATGTGTTTCATGTGACACCATAACTATTCCAGGAATGGAATTCAGTCAGGAGCATAGTGGAATTCTTGAAGAAAATAAATAATTCCTATCCTAAGGATTTTAGCACTTTTCAAGAGAGGGTATTCATATCTGGGAAGACAGCTCTTTCCTCATATTTAATTACCTTATAATTAGCATATGATAAATTATTTTTAAAACAATATAAAACAGTTTAAAAAGCACTGCAGAAAACAGTCGGAATCACTGTTCCTGCCTGAAGGTGGGTTTGTGGCATGTTTCTCAGTCTTTTTTTCCCATTGTTATGCACCCTCTCCTAAACTTTTCAGGGTTTTTTCCCCCCAGTTGACTCTTCCCATTAAATTTTAATACCGCATATATACTGCATACCTATTGATGCATTGTTTGTATATCTGTACTTTATACATAAAAGGAGTAAGATTTTTTTTACATGCCTCCAGAAGAACCAGTTTTCATTCCTTTGGGGTGCTATTGTCCCCACTGACAATACACAGTTAAAAAATTTCTCTAGGGGAGTTAGATGATCTATCCCTATACCTGTATATAAATCCCTTATCTATATCTTATTCAGCAAGAAGCCACCACCCAGCATCTTGTTGGCATTCAGAAGTCAGGGAACTCTAGGAGTCAGGCTTCCTCCATGCCCTGAGCCTTTCCAGGGGACCCTTCCACAGCAAATATTTCTGGAGCATCAAGTTCATGTTAAGGGGAATTGAATGGACAAGCCAATCTTGGAATTGTTTGTCAATCATCTGACCTATCTTAGTTGAGGACAAAGTGAAAGAGATGGAAGAAAGATAGGGAGAGGTTTGTTTATTTTTAAAGTAAGAAATCATAAAACATTATAATTCTCTTTAGGTCTGACCTAAAGAGACCTAACATCATGGTTAAGTCTATATTTTTAGACAGTCACTGTTACCCATGTGAGAATCATTTTTTGCTGTTTATCATATCTCCTGTGGGAGATACTAGGAGGGATATCTTTCTCCTTGGAAGATACCAGGAGGACTACGTTTCTCCTGTGGGAAATACTGTGAGGGCTTTCATCTTCCACGTGGAAAAGAATGTTATGAGAATGTAGTCCTCATAGCATTTCCCAGTGAAAAGGTCACCAAGATATATGAGTTCATTAGGAGTATTGTGGATGTATATTTCAGAATGTTTTTGCAACATTTTAGCCATAAAGAAAATCTCTCTTAAATTAGAATATACAACATGTCCTCATATCTTTTCTCATTATTAATGAATATTTACAAATGTGAGCAACCTATTGTCTTTGAAATATCTATAAGCACAGCAGTTTTAAGAACTGTCTTTTGTAGAGGTATCAGTGAATCCTGTTTATTTTTATTTATTTATTTATTTTACTGTTTCATTTTATTTTATTTTATTTTTATTGCATTTTAGGTTTTGGGGTACATGTGAAGAACATGTAAGATTGTTGCATAGGTACACACATGGCAGTGTGATTTGCTGCCTTCCTCCCCATCACCTATATCTGGCATTTCTCCCCATGCTATCACTCCCCAACTCCCCACCCTCCTGTCCCTCCCCTATTTCCCCTCCACAGACCCCAGTGTGTGATACTCCCCTCCCTGTGTCCATGTGTTCTCATTGTTCAACACCCACCTATGAGTGAGAACATGCGATGTTTGATTTTCTGTTCTTGTGTCAGTTTGCTGAGAATGATGGTTTCCAGGTTCATCCATGTCCCTACAAAGGACACAAACTCATCATTTTTTATGGCTGCATAAAAAATTTACAAATTTGTAAATTTGTAAATTCCGTGGTGTATATGTGCCACATTTTCCCTGCCTGGTCTATCATCCATGGACATTTGGGTTGGTTCCAGGTCTTTGCTATTGTAAACAGTGCTGCAATGAACATTCTTGTGCATGTGTCCTTATAGTAGAATGATTTATAATTCTTTGGATATATACCCAGTAATGGGATTGCTGGGTCAAATGGAAATTCTATTTCCAGGTCCTTGAGGAATTGCCACACTGTCTTCCACAATGGTTGAACTAATTTGCACTACCACCAACAGTGTAAAAGTGTTCCTACTTCTCCACATCCTCTCCAGCATCTGTTGTCTCCAGATTTTTTAATGATCGCCATTCTAACTGGCGTGAGATGGTATCTCAATGTAGTTTTGATTTGCATTTCTCTAATGTCCAGTGATGATGAGCATTTTTTCATATGTTTGTTGGCCTCATGTATGTCTTCTTTTGTAAAGTGTCTGTTCATATCCTTCGCCCACTTTTGAATGGGCTTGTTTGTTTTTTTCTTGTAAATCTGTTTTAGTTCTTTGTAGATTCTGGATATCAGTCCTTTGTCAGATGGGTAGATTACAAAAATTTTTTCCCATTCTGTTAGTTGCCGATTCACTCTAATGACTGTTTCTTTTGCTGTGCAGAAGCTGTGGAGTTTGATTAGGTCCCATTTGTCTATTTTGGCTTTTGTTGCCAATGCTTTTGGTGTTTTGGTCATGAAGTCCTTGCCTACACCTATGTCCTGAATGGTTTTACCTAGATTTTCTTCTAGGGTTTTTATGGTGTTAGGTCTTATGTTTAAGTCTTTAATCCATCTGGAGTTAATTTTAGTGTAAGGTGTCAGGAAGGGGTCCAGTTTCTGCTTTCTCCACATGGCTAGCCAGTTTTCCCAACACCATTTATTAAACAGGGAATCGTTTCCCCATTGCTTGTTTTTGTCAGGTTTGTCAAAGATCAGTTGGTTGTAGATGTGTGGTGTTGCCTCTGAGACCTCTGTTCTGTTCCATTGGTCTATAGCTCCATTTTGGTACCACTACTGTGCTGTTTTGATTACTGTAGCCTTGTAGTATAGTTTGAAGTCTGGTAGTGTGATGCCTCCCACTTTGTTCTTTTTGCTTAGAATTGACTTGTCTATGCGGGCTCTCTCTTGGTTCCATATGAAGTTTAAGGTGGTTTTTCCCAGTTCTGTAAAGAAGGTCATTGGTAGCTTGATGGGGATAGCATTGAATCTGTAAATTACTTTGGGCAGAATGGCCATTTTCACAATATTGATTCTTCCTAACCATGGGCATCAAATGTTTCTCTATCTGTTTTTGTCCTTTCTTATTTCGTTGAGCAGTGGTCTGTAGTTCTTGAAGAGGTTCTTTATGTTCCTTGTTAGTTGTATTCCTAGGTATTTTATTCTCTTTGTAGCAATTTTGAATGGCAGTTTGTTCTTGATTTGGCTCTCTTTAAGTCTGTTATTGGTGTATAGGAATGCTTGTGATTTTGGCACATTTATTTTGTATCTTGAGACTTTGCTGAAGTTGCTTATCAATTTCAGGAGATTTTGGGCTGAGACGATAGGGTCTTCTAAATATACAAACTATCTTCTGCAAATAAAGACAGTTTGACTTCCTCCTTTCCTGTTCTGATACCCTTTATTTCTTTTTTCTTTCCTGATTGCTCTGGCTAGAACTTCCAATACTATATTGAATAGGAGTGGTGAGAGAGGGCATCCTTGTCTAGTCCCTGATTTCAAAGGGAATGCTTCCAGCTTTTGGCCATTCAGCATGATATTGGCTGTTGGTTTGTCGTAAATAGCTTTTATTATTTTGAGATACTTTCCATCAAGACCTAGTTTATTAGGGTTTTTAGCATAAAAGCCTGTTGAATTTTATCAAAGGCCTTCTCTGCATCAATTGAGATAATCATGTGGTTTTTGTTTTTGGTTCTGTTTATGTGGTGAATTACGTTTATAGACTTGCGTATGTTGAACCAGCCTTGCATCCCGGGATGAAGCCTGCTTGATCATGGTGGATGAGCTTTTTGATGTGCTGTTGCAATCAGTTTGTTTGCCAGCATTTTATTGAAGATTTTTGCAGCTATGTTCATCATGGATATTGGCCTGAAGTTTTCTTTTCTTGCTGAGTCTCTGCCGGGTTTTGGTATCAGGATGATGTTAGTCTCATAAAGTGATTTGTGAAGGATTCCCTCTTTTTGTATTGTTTGGAATAATTTCAGAAGGAATGGTACCAGCTCCTCTTTGTATGTCTGGCAGATTTCAGCTGTTAACCCATCTGGACCTGGGCTTTTTTTGGGTGGTAGTCTCTTAATTGCTGCCTCAACTTCTGCCCTTGTTATTGGTCTATTCAGGGCTTCGACTTCTTCCTGGTTTAGGCTTGGGAGGATGCAAGTGTCCAGGAATTATCCATTTCTTCCAGGTTTACTAGTTTATGTGCATAGAGTTGTTTGTCATAATCTCCGATGATGGTTTGTGTTTCTGTGGAATCAGTGGTGATATCTCCTTTATCGTTTTTTATTGCATCTATTTGATTCTTCTCTCTTTTCTTTTTTATTAATCTGGCTAGTGGTCTGTCTATTTTATTGATCTTTTCAAAAAACCAGCTCCTGGATTTATGGATTTTTTGAGGGTTTTTTGTGTCTCTATCTCCTTCAGTTCTGCTCTGATCTTAGTTATTTCTTGTCTTCTGCTAGGTTTTGAGTTTTTTTTTTTTTTTATCTTGCTCCTCTAGCTCTTTCAATTTTGACGATAGGGTGTCGATTTTAGATC